TATCTATCTATCTATCTATCTATCTATCTATCTATCTATCTCTCTATCCTCTCTCTCTCTCTCTCTCTCTCTCTCTCGCCCCCCCCTCTCTCTCTCCATTTATCTATATCTATCTATCATGAGAGAGACCAAGGGCTGTCCTCCCAAACAGGAAAGTAACCAGGGCAGAATTGGGTTGGGTACCAGCATTTTTCCATCCTGCTCACCCAAAAGATCCTTCCAAAAAAAAGCCAAAAACCAGAACTGTTTCCCTGCAGCTGAAATGGCTCATCCCATATATTCAGTTTTTATTTGGGTTTTAGGTCCCCCCCTAAAACCTCTGCTCCTGGCTGGGCAGAGACCAGGGTACTGCCCTGCCTCTAACCTGCACCCTTCCTGGGCCACCATTCTGGGTGGGTCTAGAAACCACAGCCGCTCTAGACCCTTCTGGATCTAGAAACGAGAATATGAGACCTTCGGGCTCTTCCGGCTTGCTCCTAAAACAACCCATCCTGTTCTTCTTCCTTGTTGAGATCTTGGAAAAAGGCAATAGGTGGAGAAGCCCAGGGGTTTGGCCAATGAGTGACAAGGCCACCTCAAATCGGTTCCAGGGGAAGCTGGCCACCACAAAAGGCTGCGATTGGTGGCCGGGAGAGAAGAAGGAGGAGGTTCTTGGGGTTTGGCTAGGCCAAATCCAGCAAAGTTGAAAGCAAGTGAAGGCCGGATCAAAGCCAGGAAAATTTCCCTGGGGGTTGTGGGAGGAAAGGAAGCAAATCCTTAAGGCACGGGTCCCCAAACTTGGCAACTTTAAGACTGGTGGACTTCAGTTCCCAGAATTCCTCCTCCAGTCATGTTAGCTCAGGAATTCTGGGAGTTGAAGTCTTAAAATGGCCAAGTTTGAAGACCCTTGTCTTAGGCTGAAAATCTTAGGTGCTATAGCAGAGGTCTGCAGACTTGGTAACTTTAAGACTTATTGGCTTCAACTCCCAGAATTCCCCCTCCAGTCATGTTTGCTCAGGAATTCTGAAGTCCACAAGTCTTAAAGCTGCCAAGTTTGGAGACCTCTGCTATAGCACCTAAGATTTTTGGCCTAAGACAAGGGTCTTTAGACTTGGCCAGTTTAAGACTTGTGGACTTCAACTCCCAGAATTCCTGAGCAAACATGACTGGAGGAGGAATTCTGGGAGTTGAAGTCCACAAGTTTTAAAGCTGCCAAGTTTGGAGACCTCTCCTCTTAAGGGGACAAAAGGACAAAAGTTAGGCCTGAGCACACAGGGAAGCCCATGGTGGGGGCCATATTAATGCACAGTGAAGAGATTCCCATGGTAACCCTGCTTGGGTGGGGGGTTGGATTAGATGACCACAAGGTCCCTTCCAACTCTGTTAATCTAATCTAACACAACACCACCACCACCACCCCAGGAATCATAGCCCAATCCAAAGGCTGTGGAAAGAGGGATCACAGAAGTCCTTTGAAACTTAGAAAAAGGAAGATATTCCCAATAAACCAGCAAACTCTTTTAACTAGCACACAGTGCTCGCCTCTCTGGCCCATTCTGACATCAGAAGTCCCCAAATGTGGCAACTTTTAAGACTGGTGGACTTCCAACTCCCAGAATTCCTCTGCTAGCAGGCTTAGGAATTCTGGGAATTGAAGTCCACAAGTCTTAAAAGTTGCCACGTTTGGGAACCTCTGGTTTAGAGGCTAGAGGATGTTCATATGTTGAGTGGATCAAGCACTCTTAACAGATCAACAGAGCTGGAAGGGACCTTGTGTGTCATCTAGTCCAACCCCCTGCCCAAGCAGACCCTACACCATTTCTGACAGATGGCAGTCCAGTCTCTTCTTGAAAGCCTTCAGTGATGAAGCTCCCACAACTTCCGAAGGCAACGTCTGTTCCATGGGTTGATTGTTCTCACTGTCAGAAAATTTCTCCTTATTTCCAGGTTGAATCTCTCCTTGTTCAGTTTCCATCCATTATTTCAGGTGCCTTGGAAAATAGCTTGACCCCTTCCTCCTCTCTGTGGCAGACCCTCAAATGCTGGAAGACTGCTATCCTGTCTCCCCTGGTCCTTCTCACAACCAGTGAACCCCTTGTCAACGAAAGTGCAGCCCACCTGTGATTAACGGCATTCACCCACCCAAAAAGTCCATACAGTAGTCCTTTGAAGAGTTAACAGCAGCAACAAACCTTATCAGTTCCTTGCAAGGCCAAAAGGCTGCAAATTAAGTTCTTGCAAGCAGTCTCTGTGGCACGAAACACCATGAGCAAAATCTTCAAAAAGATGAACTGTTGTCTCCTACAACCATCACTCTCCTTTCCTTCTATTTATTCCCCAGCCAGGGAGGGGCCAATCAGTGTCCACATGTGCTTTGCTTCCCAAGTCGACTCCTTGTCATCTCTTGTTCCCTTCACCTAACAGCTCTGTGCATACTTGCATCTGGAACAGGCCCCAGCTATTCCTCTTCCTGACTCATATCAGCCTCCAAAGGCAGCTGCCTCTCCGGTGGCTGGGAAATGTTGGACGGCCCCGGCTCTATCTCTACGTCTGACGCAGAGCATCCCTCAGAGCCTTCCCCAGGCCCCAGAACTGGCTTAAGTTTCTTCCCAACCTCCTCCTCATCCAAGTCCGGTGGGCCAGAACCCTGGTTCATATTTATGATGGTTGCACTGTCCTGGGGTCACCTGGTCCCCTTTTGTGACCTTCTGATGAGCAAATTCCATGGGGAAGGCCAGGGGTTGGATTCTACCTGGTTGGACCGGTTCTATAGAACCGGTTGTTACGATTCTGTGCAGTTCGGAGAACTGTCAAATTGTGCCAATGGCTGGCCCCGCCCCGCCCACTTACTCCTTACCTGGTATGCGCACGATCCAACTTGCCTGCGTTTGGTAAGTTACTATTTTTCCGTTTCCCCCCCCCCCCGACCATCAGATGTTCTGCTGTGCTGGGAGATTTAGATTAGCTAGAAAGCAGGAAATAGTTGGATTTCTTGCTTTCTAGCTAATCTAAAAGCAGAGCTGAACCTTCCTTAGGACATGAAGTTTCTATTTTTCAGTGCAGACACAGGTAGCAGATTGCAAAAAGATAGATCTCTAAATGAATTTGTGATTCTGCAAGCAACTCAATCTGCCTACTTGCTTTGCCTGATTTTGGGTAAAAGTTGCTCTTTTTATATATATATATATAACATTCAATATTTACATACATGGTGTATTGTGAGTTAATTTTATGAGTTTGCTTGCAAACAAATTTTATGTGACAGACTCAGGTAGCAGATTGCAGAATGGTAGATCTCTGAGTAAATCTGTGATTCTGTGAGCAACTCAATCTGTTTGCCTGTTTTGCCTGCTTTTGGGTAAAAGTTGCTCTTTTTTTATAAAAAATTCAATATTTACATACATAGTGTGCTGTGAGTTAATTTTGTAAGTTTGCTTGCTAGCAAATTGCAAATTATAAAAAATGCAATAAATACATAAATATAATATTTACATACAAGCCACACCCAGCCAGTCACATGACCACCAAGCCACATTCACAAATTAGGCCACGCCCACAGAGCAGATTGTTAAGAAATTTGAATCTCACCCCTGGGGAAGGCAGATTCACTTAAGAACCATGTCACTAACTTAACAAGGGAGGTGATTTGCGGAACGAGAAAGGACATAAAATGGAGGGGAAACTCACTGAACGACTGTCTCTCGATTGTGGCCGAAAGTTGAGGGCTATCAATGTCTTCCTCTGACTCCCCACAAAGGTGGAGGATTGCTCCTGGAATGGGGGTCTGATGAAGGAAAAATCAGAAAACTTCAAAGAAAACAGCCGCGACCAAAGTGGAGATAAGATGCACAGCCAAACGTCCCTGAATTTTAAGACAAGCAGATTTTTTGGCCTCATGTTTTTCATCCGGGAAAAATCTGTGCCTCTTTCAGCCGAGCATTATACAGTAGTAGCTGAGCTTTCTGTTGCTATGGAAACAGGCCAGCGATACCCTAAGATACCATGACTTGCTTTTTTGAAAGCCTATAGCTTTGCATAATGGAATATTTTGTACCATACATATATTCAAATCTCTTTAGCTATCTATCATCCATATGTATCTCTCTACCTATCTGTATCTATCTGTCTGCCTGTCTGTCTGTCTGTCTGTCTGTCTATCTTCCATATATCATCCATATCTATTTGTCTACCTATCTGTATCTATCTATCTGTATCTATCTATCTATCTATCTATCTATCTATCTATC